ATATTATTTTATATTTATTTATATTATATTATTATTTTATTATTGTATTTTATTATTATTATTATTATTATTATTATTATTATTATTATTATTATTATTCCATTTATTATGTTCAAAATAATTTTACAAAAATTAATTCATCATTTTTCCTAATTTATTTCTTTTTCTTTTTTTCTTCCAACTTTATTCTCAACCCCAGTTATACGTGTAATTTAATTATTATTATTATTATTATTATTATTATTATTTATTTATATTATTTATTATTATTTATTATTATTTATTTTTTTTTTGGTATCTTATTCCATCTTCTCTTTTCTTTTTAACATTTTAAAATTAATTTGTTAAAATATATTTCATTCGAGGGGTTCAGCAGATTTATTTAATTTCATTTCAAGTTCTTTTGTTGGACTTTAGCTTTGGAGTAAATTAAAAATAAAAATTTTTTTTTTTCATCGTGCATATAGGAACACGGAAATTCTCTCGTCCTTCACCTCCTCCTCCTCCTCCTCTTCCTCCTCCTCCTACTACTACTACTATTATTCCCTAACTTCACCCCTCATCATCTCCCAACTCTAACGAGTCCATTTACTTTGACGTACTCCTTTCGTTTTACGTATTTACATAGTATACAGATATATGAGTACATAAATACATATGTATATGTGTTTGTGTGTATGTGTGTATATAGAAGTATCTCTATAAATATAATTAGAAGTTTTGAAAGTACGAGAAATGATATATTTTAGTCAGCTCGTGACAACAAACCAGTGAAAGTTTCTCAGCAACTTAAACAACCTACGTGATCTTGAAATTTTGTATTTTACGTAATAACATCTTTCTCTTTGTTCGTCACATTTCATTCAAATTTAATCTCTAAGAATTTTTTTTAGAAGAGATCTTCGAATGAAAAAAAGAAAAAGAAAAAAATAATTGAAGAACCGATATGTACTTTGACGTACATTTCTTTCTATAAAAAACGTATGACTCACAATTATATCCCTCATTAAGTATTTTTTGTTCTCTTTAAACGTTTCTGTAAAAATAAAAAAAAGAAAGAAAGAAAGAAAGAAAGAAAGAAAATGTTCCCTTCGATGGAACGAACGTCACACAACCACCCACATACACCCCGTTTTAATTCTCCTTTGTAATTTAATTGCTTTGTGAAATAATGAGATTATCCCTACTACTACTACTACTATCTATTTTATATTATACGATAGTCCATCTTTTTCTTTTTTGGGTTACTAGAGGGTTACTTGTTTTTTTTTTTTTTTTTTTTAATTTTATTTTATTATTTTTTTTTTCAATTCTTTCTTTACTTATATAATCATATTGTAATATAATTTCGTTTAATTGAACTTAACAACGTGACAAAAATACTTATCAAACAATCTCGCGTTCTCATTCACGTTAATTAAATTTTATTCTTTTTTTTTTACAGTTTTTTTTTTTTCATTTGTAAAAGAAATAAAAGATTGACGAGATATTATTCTGACAATATGAGTACGTATACTTATACTAGGGGTGCCTCGTCACGCGTTGCTGCTGTGGCTCACAATTAGTCCGATACACACGTTTTTAAGTCAACGAATTACCTTATACAACAAATAATTCGTAATAAAATAATAATGCGATTATAAATTGTGATATAAACTATCCTATCTTTCAAGTTGAATGAAACTGCACAGAGTGTGCAAAATTTTATTCAAATCGGTTCAGTAGTTTAGAAGTCTATTGAGGACAAACAACGTGACACGTAATTTATATATATTAACAGATAATTTTTTATATTAGTATATATTATATTTATTATATTATATACTCGTCTATTCTAATTTTGAATTTAGCCACCAGATAGTGTATTCAAATGCTAGAGATCCCACGTGACGTAGCAATTCGACCTATCTACTGTAATTTTGAATTTAGCCACCAGATAGCGTATTCAAGTGCTAGAGATCCCACGTGTCATAGTAGCAATTCGACCTATCTACTGTAATTTTGAATTTAGCCACCAGATAGCGTATTCAAGTGTTAGAGATCCCACGTGGCGTAGCAATTCGACCTATCTACTGTAATTTTGAATTTAGCCACCAGATAGCGTATTCAAGTGCTAGAGATCCCACGTGGCATAGCAATTCGACCTATCTACTGTAATTTTGAATTTAGCCACCAGATAGCGTATTCAAGTGTTAGAGATACCAATATATACACTCATATCATATATATACATATATCTTTTCTATTTTGAGTTTAATGAACAAAGAATATTTAGCAAATGAATTCTATGACGCATTTTCACATGATTTCCAATCACGAGTTTATTAAACACGTATGTATATATACACACTTATACAAATGAATGAAGTTTCCTTTTATTTCAATGGCATATAATAATCAAATTGAATGTTGTATGTTGATTTAATTAAATGTATGTATGTACATACAACATTGTACATGTATAATATATTGTTTTATTTGTTTGTTTGTTTGTTTGATATTAATCTAACGGTATTTTACATATGTTTCAGGGATAACACGTAGATCATACATCAGATATTATGAGCCAGCATCTTATGACACGGTATCCTTGAAACGTCATCGTGACAGGACACGTCGTGACATCTCCGATTCTAACGAAAATCAACCACTCATTTTACGCTTGAAAGCATTGGATAGGTAAGTTTACAACACCTTTCATATCCAAGTTATGAGTAACATACACAACTTATTATTTATATAAAATAAGATACTTTTTAACAGATTTATTAAAACGTTGAATTCATCATCAAACTTTCATGTGTACTGTTTTCTGTCACTGAATATCTTGATTTTGTTGACCCACCCTAATATACACGTTGAATAACAATTTCGAATTTTTCATAATTTGTAATAAAATTGAAATGGGACAGAGAAAGGAAAGGTTTAATATTCGCTAATATTTATTGGATGCATCTCAACTAGATCGCGAGAGACAAGAGATGAATGGGGTGAGAATGGGGTGTGTGAGGATGTTGGGAATGAAAGAGAAAAGTTTGATGGGGGTATGAGGAACACTAGGGGGTGGGGGGTAGGACGTGTAAGCCGTATTTCCGCTCGACACCGATATTCATGGAAAATAGAAGCTTATAGTATTTCAGGAAAGCGATAACGTCACCAACGTTGCACCCCAAAACGTTGTTTGCCATGCTCAACGTGAGAACCATACGTGACAGGAGGACGAAAATATTCGGATATATATTTTGTCCACATGCTTGTTGAGGAGATGGTGATGGTGAATGGTAGTGGTGGTTGTTGGGATATCCTAAATCGTGGCAAGAGATCGATCTGATTTGCACAACTCACCCCCCTTTTCTCCTTCCAAATTCCTACAATACGCCATTTTATTTGCATTTCCTGTCGTTGTTCTGTTGAATGTGAGTTGTGAGTAACACACACACACACATATATATATACATTTCCTGTATAGTAATTTGAAAAAATATTGTCTACTTTCAGTTTACCATTCCCCATTATCCGCACCCCTTTCTTCTAACCTGTACTAACATCACCATCAACCACATTACCACCATCACAACTCGTTTTATATTACTCGACACTAGGGGTAAAAGAAAAATATCTGTAAGAAAATATACAAACTATATTATTTACTATACTATACTATCACTTCTTAGGAGAAAAATAATTTTTTATTATTTTTTTGTATTTTGTATTACGCGAGTGTTAGCTTTCAACGTGGTGTAACTACTACAACCGTTTCTTTTCGTCTTCCTCTCTTTATGTAAATCGTTTGAATCCACGGTGAGCAATAAAATGTAAAACAGGAGTAGGTCGGTTGGGGTACCAACACTACCACTATCACATCACACTACCCAACTATAGTCTATCTATCTATCTATCTATCTATATATATTTTTTTTCTTTTTTCCCATCGTATTATTCTTTGTCGTTTTCGTCTTACCTTGTCGTAGGAGAACTTTAGTGTTGGATGTTCTTACATTTCTCTTTCCATCTTTCTCTCTCTCTCTCTCTTTCTCTTTCTATATATATATATATATAATATAAAAAAAAAAATCGATGATAAAATTTATTAAACAAATATTATAGTCAATTGTTCATTAATAATTATCGACGTCCTATATAATACAAATAAAAACAAATATAATTTTCCCATATAAAATTAGAAACGTACAAGATTTTAAATCGAATCCACGACTATCTTCTTCTTATTCTTTTACTTCTTCTTCTTCATCTTCATCTTCATCTTCATCTTCCAATCCTCGTTTCTATTTTTCCTTTTATTTTTGTTAAAACCGAATATCCATCGATAGATTTATTCCTACGATCGTAGAAATACCTACCTTGCCGTGAGGTTCTAATTGCTTCCTTTGAAATCAGAAATCATAGGGGATAGAAGGAGGAGAAGTAGGAGGAGGAGGAGGAGGAGGAGGAGGAAGAGGAGGAGAATCGACTTAACGTCGAAGTTTGTTCGGAACTTCATCCTTGTAGAATCCGAGGCCACAAATCAAGCACCACCAGGTTGTTTCCTCGTCCTATCGTACGCAGAGAAATACAACTACCACCATCCGGTGTAACTTAACAAACCCTTCCACTCCCACCCCTTCGACTATGGCATTACATCTAACCCTCTTACACTACAAATATCATCCCTCTATAAATATTAAACAATGTATTATATCATAATACTCCCCACCAAACCATTTTACCCCATCCTCATGTTATCACCCTCTCCTAAAATTGTTAATCTTTTTTCTTTGTCAAAACAATGTTCAAAACTATGTTTTTATGCAAACAAAAAAAGAAAAAAGATTTTTTTAAATCGTTTTTTTCCCTTTCAAAATCAATGCTGCTCTTAAGGGGTTAATTAATGAATAATAAAATAATATAATATAAATAGAAATAACTAAAGTTCCATAACTTTTATTAGTATTTTCACGAGAATTCTTGGGGAGGAAAATAAAAAAGAAAAAAAATAAGATATATCACACCCCTTTGCGACTTTCACTCTCCAAATACGAAGAAAAGCGACACACATTTTATCAATAATCCCTACAAGAATCTATATATATATATACATACATATATATATAAGATCCACCGCAACACGGAAAACGTAACGCGTTTTACACGAACGTGGCCTTAATTGGATCCCTGCTTACTGACCTGTCAAGGATACACCTGACGGTTAGGTAGATAGACTAGATAGATAGATAGATAGATAAATAGATAGATAGGTATAATACCACTTTGCACGTCGATGACCTTGTATAGTTCCTTCTCACTTTCCCCTTTTTTCTCTTCCCTTCCCATTCTTTTCTTAAATCCTCCACCCTTCTCTCACCCTTCTATCTCCTACCCTGTATTTCTCTTTCTCTGTCTCTCTCTCTCTCTCTCTCTTGTATACACTAAATCTTGTTACTTTTATTAAATTTTACTTCAATTAACTTAACCTTCGTCAATTAACTTAACCTTCACGTTTGAGGTTTAGTATGTTTTTTTTTCTTTTTTTTTATTAAATAATGTATTTTAAACAACGTTGCGACAATATAAACAAACCAAAAAAGCACAGATTGAAAATGAGTGTGATGAGTGTGAGTGCATCAGAGTGAAAATGAATAATAATAGTTATATAATTAAATAGTTAATAAAAATAATAAGTAAATATAGTATATACTATAATATATAAAAATATTCTAATAAATAATAGTTAATAAATATGTAATAAATTAAATCTTCTTAATATATATAAATTACGTGTCACGTTGTTTGTCCGTAATGGACTTCTAAACTACTGAATCGATTTTAATCAAATTTTACACACTGTATGCAGTTTCATCTAACTTGAAAGATAGGTTAGTTTATATCTCAATTTATAATCGAATTATTTGTTTATTAACAAAGAGTCATGATTATCTCTGTTAGTTCGATAAGATTCTAACAGATGGCGGT